AATTATTAATAATACTAAATGATACAATTATAAAACATAATAATAATGCAAAAAAAAATTACAACATAAATAATAATAATAATAAATACTATATGCTAAAAACTAAAATGTATTACAATAAAAATAATACAATGTTGTTGTGCTTTATTATTATTATTATTATTAGGGTTAGTAATTAATAATAATAATAATAATAATAAATTAAACTATTAAGAAGTAGTTCTTCTTTCTGAACAAAACGTGACAGGTGCTTGCAATAAAAGGTACTTGGCCCCAATACAAGAAAAAAAAGAAACAAAAGAAATGAATCCTGCTTTTGTTTCAGCGGACATATATTCAAATTTATAAGCATCTACACATGCCCTCGCCTGTCTCTTCCAGTGACAAAGTGCAGGCCAAAGGGTTAGCTGGCAACAAAAGATACTGCTGGAGAAAAACCGTCTCAAAATAGGTCACATCAGAAAAAAATTTGTCATAACAGAGCTGGCACATCAAACATCAACAAGCCAGTGCCCCTGTAGACACAGAGGTCTTTGACAAAGTGCAGTCGTTATTCTCTCCCGTCTTTTTGTTCTCATCGTGGTGAAAGAGAGAGAGAGAGAGAGAGAGAGAGAGAGAGAAGGACAGAGGCCCAGCTGTAAAAAATGGGGCTTAATGAACCTGCCTGGCTGGGCTGTCCACTGCCTGTCAGAGGTGTCACAATGGTGACGAGTGTCAGGGACGAGCGGCCCCGGGTCCCAGACAGGCCTGCCCGCTGGAGGCTTCTGCCCCAATCTAATCACACCAGCAGAATCCGAGCAGGAACAGGCTCCAGGCTTTTACGTCACTGCTCACGGCCTGTCAGCGCACACACAGGGGCCGTACAGTTACCTAGCCCACGGATGCTAACGTCTGTTGTATATGCAGCTGTTAGGGTTGTAAAAGGTTCCTAACAGACGCATATTAACATGTCTATTGCATATTGCAATTTTGCAATAATGCAATTGTTTTGTTGTCAGTGAAGTCTTGAAATTTGGATTCTGTATGTAAACATTGGATCCCTATTGATAATTGGCCCCACAATTTTTCTTGTTTTGTTGCCGTTAACAGCTATTATTGAGCATGACATCCAAGCCAAATCTTTTTCACCATCCTTATTCTTCAAAAGACGCCCCGAATTGCCCGCCGAATGGAACGTTATGACGGGCTGAATACATCAAAAAGATCCATCATTTTTAAACCGGACACAATTTTTCACACAGCCCCTTGAGAGATGAGTGCAATCCCTCTGCCTGTGAAATGTGTGCTGAGTCTGGCCGGGGATAGAACAGCCAGCATGACTGATATGTTTATAAAGCTGGTCGCCTGTCGCACTGACAACCTGCCATCATAGCACCTCTGCTGGGCTCTCTGCAGATTTGTCTAATAGGCTTCCACTGCTGGGACTGAACGTGTGTGTGTGTGTGTGTGTGTGTGTGTGTGCATGGGCCCGCCGAATGGAACGTTATGACGGGCTGAATACATCAAAAAGATCCATCATTTTTAAACCGGACACAATTTTTCACACAGCCCCTTGAGAGATGAGTGCAATCCCTCTGCCTGTGAAATGTGTGCTGAGTCTGGCCGGGGATAGAACAGCCAGCATGACTGATATGTTTATAAAGCTGGTCGCCTGTCGCACTGACAACCTGCCATCATAGCACCTCTGCTGGGCTCTCTGCAGATTTGTCTAATAGGCTTCCACTGCTGGGACTGAATGTGTGTGTGTGTGTGTGTGTGTGTGTGTGTGCATGGAATGAGAGAGGGGGAAATGTGTCCAGAAAGTGAGAGCACTTGTCTCATCTCAAGAATGGTGACTACTCCCTATGGTGCGTGAGAGAAAATGTATATATGCGCTAAAGAGGTTCAAAATCCACAGCCTAACAGCCAACTTACCTGCACATAGAAACATTTAAAGGATCAGTGCACCCAAAATTACAATTCTGTCAGTAGCCCCTTTTACACATACAGTCTTTACTGGTAAATTTCCTTTAAGAGATCATGTGTGAACAGGACCTTTTCAAAAATACCGGTAAATTCATTCTGGCAATTTACGGTTATGAGAAGTTGTAACATTACCAGTAAATGACCGGTAATTTGCTCTGTGTGAACACAGAACGAGATTACCCGTATGAGCACGTACGAGTTCAGAACGAGCTGACGTAAGATGTCTACTCTGGCCCAATCATAACATTCTGGCGCAGATAACACATTTACTGACATTAAAGAAATGTCTAAAGTCATCTCTACGATGTCTCTGGGCCAAAAGCAGCTACATAAATGTGAACGTTTGACACAAAAATGAAAACATTAATAAAAACACTGACTGCATCTACCCCTCCATGTTTACAAACACAACGCCGGGAGTCAATTTTACGGCAATTTACTGGTATTACTGTGTGAAAGGGGCTACTGTTTACTCACCCAAATGTTGTTCCTACCATGTGAATGTTTTTTTTTTCTTCTTCTGTTGAACACGAGACATTTGGAAAAAAAAAAAGAAAAAAAAAATATATATATATATATATACTGTATATGTGTGTATATATATATATATATATATATATTGTTAGGAAATGTCTGATACTTACGTTAAAAATATCTCAATTTCATTTGCATGAGAACCAATATTTTTTGCCGCAAAAATGCTGTGACATGTCATGGGTGAACTGATGACCATTTTTATTTGTGGGTGGGTTGTTCCTTTAAAGAGATTAAATGGAAATTAAAGAACCCTTTAAAACAATCACTGCCACTCAACAGCAATAATGGACATATTACAAAAAGGCTGAGTGACTTTTGTAGCTTGTAAAAGGCCTTTACTGCATACAGGGTACAGGGTGTCTGCTGTAAGGGGCAGTTGAGTTTGAAAGCAGACATGCTGTGGCGCTGTAGTCATAGAGAGGAAAGACCAGCACAGTATGTGACGGTCTTTACCAAAGGCTCTGTTTTTGAACAGGTGGGGTCTGGACTGTTTACTGCCGGCTGTTGTTGGCTACTGGCTTCACGAGAAATAGCACAGAATGACAAGGTGTGACTACTACAGTCTGCCCACCATGTGTATAAATGTGTGTGTGTGTGTGTGTGTGCCCCCTCTCACCTTACCTTGTCGCTGCCAAATTCATGCTTACATACTTCTTCCTCAAAGCTGCTGCTGCCCTTTCAACCTTAATTTACATCAAGTAAACTAATTTTAGCATTTTTGGTCAACC